CTTGTATAATGCCCAAAATAGAAATAAAAATACCCTTTTCAAGTTGTGTATGATGGAGAAGGAAAGAAATAGAAAGAAACATCAAAGGCCAGGTTGACACACACAAAAAGGACGTCCGTCCCCTCCATGGTCTGGTTGAACTCATGGAAGCCAATCTCTTCACTTCCGTTTACCGTGCCTGTCCAATCGTGTCCCGTCGATGATGATGGTGATGATGATGATGATGTTGTTGTTCTCTACTGACAGTAGGCGTAGGCCTCAAGACACCGTGATACGTCTCGGCATCGTCGTCGTCTTCGTGGTGAAAACTGAAACCATCATCTCCGTCATCATCGTCCGCCTCGTCGTCATAAAAAGTATCGCACGACCTCGGGCTTGTATTTCCGCCGCCGCCGCGAACACCAACCACCTCGGCCGTACTCGGTACCGTCGTGTTGGTATTTCCTCGCGGCCTCGTATTATTCAACTGAAGCGGAAGCATGCTACTCCCTCCAGAACCAGAGGACCCTGACCCCTCTCCTCCTACTCCTCCTCCATCAGCAAATCCCAGCCCATGGTGTTGCGGGGCGGGCATGATTTCGTCGCTCGACGACGCAACGCTGGGACTCTTCCCCCTGTCGACCCAGCTTGGCGTCTTCCTGTGTTCCTTCCAGCTAACCTTGACCCGGAGCGATTTCGTCGGTGTGGTTAGCAGCTGGCTTACTCGTGACTTTTGCGTCGCGTAGCCCACTTCGATGTCGGGGTAGAGATATGGTCGGTCGAGGCCCAGGGTGTGGAACATGCCTGGAAACCAGCGCCTGAAAAGAGGCCAGAGGGCTGGGGCTGATGCGCAGAGGACGGCGAGGTTGATTTCTATCGTGTTGGTCGTGTAGCCGAGCGAGTAATTCCTGTCTTCTGGGTCGAGGTAGAACGATCTGATGATGAAGTATAGCCGCACTACGCTCATGGCCACGACTCTGTTTCTGCTGTTAGCGATGCACCACACTTGACCAGAGATGATGACATGAACATACAGAGCACCAACACAAAACACAGCCAGCAAGGCGTTCCTCACCCGCTTATTCACCTTCAAATCCAGAAACGCCCAAAACGGAATCCACAAGGTCAGAATATCCGTCAACACGTTGATGCTCGCCAACGTGGTAGAAAACACGGCACCCTTGATACACTTGCCATCCTTGACGCCCCGCCAGTTATACTCGATCGGCATGCATTGAAAGACGACGACGGGCATGAAGGCCAGGAGCTGAAGTATGTTGAACCAGATCATGGCCGTGCAGGCGACGTTGACCCGCTTCTTGGTGCCTCCGACTCGAAGAAGAAACAAGAGCGCCGAGATCTTGACCAGCGAGAGCACGGGGTTGTAGACGACCTGGTTGAGGTAGTTCCAGAACATGCCTTGGTTCCAGGGGCGAGGGGGGACGTCGGCGTCGTGTATTCCCCAGTATCCCATGACAAGGTCTGGGTTTTTTCATCTTGTTAGTGGTGCTCCCATCTGTCAGTCAGACGCTTGCTTCATCGGGGTTTGGCTCACAGATTCCCGCAAATATTGCTTGTGGGATGATTAATATCTGAGGCAAACAAGCACGCGTCAGTCCCAATGCTCCTCCGGCAAAGCAACGATGTCATCTCCTTTGGAGGACTCACGACGGCAGCTAGTATAAACCAGTCATCTAGTAACAACGAACGTTAGCCCCAATCCCCAACCTCAGCAGTCAAGAAGCCAAAACAAGCTAAGGAGAAGCTCACCTATACCAAATCTCTTGGCCACATATTTGCTATAAAACCGCAACGCACAAACGATGATCGACAAGGCCGGGAAGAAGGCTGTCAAGAATAACCCAAAGTCTTGAAAGCCCGAATGCGGAATGGGTTCTTTGGGCGTGATCCAAAAGGCCGCCTCCGGGATCGGGGGCAGTCGATTAGCCTCCGGAGGCGACATGATGACTACGGGTTTTGTACCGAGTCCAGTCTAGAAGCTGTTGGCCTTTTCCCTTTTCCCTATATCCTTCTCATTTGTTTCCAGACGTTCGCGGGATCGAATAACACTCAAAATACAACGACCACGAAGATGGCGAAGATGGGGAAGCTGCTGGACAAGTCGAATACGGTATGAACCAAAAAGAGAAAGAAAAGAGAGAAACCAGGAGGTTTGGCCGTCGTGGACGAAGTGAATGGTATCAATGAACAAAACACTTGGGCCTGGAACCTTGAAAGTAGCGGTAGGATCTTAAGAACTCCGTACGGAATGAACCAGGCATTTGGTTCCCAACGTTGGCAAGGTGGTCTTGCCACTGGCTTTCTTCCTTCTCCCATCCAACCCCTGGTTCAGGCGGCGGTGACATAAGGTCATATCATGCAGTCCCCGGAGAATAAACCAGTGGACGACCAGGTGAAGTTGTTGGTGGTGTGCATGTGAGAATGCCCCGGGGAACAGCGGAAGACAGGGTTGAAGAACAAAGTGACTGGCTACCGGCATCCAGAGGCGCTAGGATTTTGGTCGCTGCTTGCTGATTCCAGACTTCAGTTCACTTCCCCGGTGCAAGAGTCCCTGTCGGGGCCAGGCTGTCCCTCCCAACCCTGAAGATTAATGGGATCTTCCGTTCAGGATCTACAAGAGACCTTCTCGATGAGTCTTTCATCCAAATGATCAAAAGATGTGCAGTTTTCCATACGAACCAACAAATATCAGATCACTGGAAGAAAAAGTCCTCCTCCCACAACAGTTGCAGGAACTTTCCAAAGCGATTACGTTGCGGGGGAGTGTTGAGTTCACCGGTGAAATCGGTGTTTGGTCTCTCCGTTCATAGTGTACTGGCTGGTCCAGCGAAGACGACGCCGCAGTCGTGCGTATCGACCCAAGCTTCGCCGTCTCATTCTTCGGAGGAACCCAGGAAGCGAAGAGCTAGGACGGAGACTTCCGATCATGGCCAAGAGCTAACAAGTGCCAGTCTCGAAGAGGCAATGACCGCCAATACTCGTCAATCTCTTTTCAGCATGCGAGCCATCATTGACGACGCCACGATAAATACTTTCGTATTAAATAACACAAAAAGCTGATGGGAGAGTGTTGATGAAGATCTTGTGTTTTCCCGGCGAGTTGAGAAGGACCTGGTTGATTGATTGGATTTGAGTAGCCAGAATGCAACATCGCTGCAACAGTTGCAGTGAGACTTTGGCAGGCTCTCACACAGCACGGGGTAGGCACTGACCACGACCTTCCATCCCCACGCTCCTACGGCTACTCTGGAAGACGATCCAAAGAAGAATTCCAGGAACAACTGTAACCGGAGACCACGACGCATAAAACATCCCCCACGCATTGGTCGGGATGAAACAGGTGAACGCCTAACCAAAAGGTAAAGACGTTTTCCCATGAAATTCTAGGCTGACAAGTGATCAATCCAGCAATATGCGACTGTTTTATGAAGTGGCTGAGTCGCCGTGGTGTGGGCGGTGGTGTGAACAAACATCAATACCGAAGGCCAACACAAGTTAACGCGGATATATGAAATGATAATATTCCCCATAACCTGGTTTACCAAAGGGCTACGCCTCAATACGTTGCGGTCGTGGAGTTCAGAGTGGGAGGCTTGATTCGCATGATGACAGCTCACTCCGCGCCTCAACAGCAACCAAGACCGCAACTCCGTGTGCGAATTGAGCACGTGTGGCTTGACTTGCAACGAGCAGACATGAGGATAAACACATTTCGACATCTTCCGGGTCCGCGGAGTATTCTCTCGCAACGTGTCATTCCGCCAGCGACGGAGTGCCAGGACCCAACCTCCACTGTTTCGAATCGGGTCGTAACTGTATTCGTACAGATGCAACTCGATTTGAGAGAACTTTCAGCCCGCCGAGTGCTGCTTTCTCACCAAGCTGGTGATAACTCTCAACGAAGGGTCGGACATGGAAGATCAGCCTTCTTACTCACCAAAAGGAGGTATGGTATCGCACTCATTCAAGCAGACAGCGAACGCCGATGCACACAAAGTTTGTCGGCATCAAATTGCCCTCACCTCGGTGTGCAGCCGGTGAATAAACGCGCGTGTTGGACAGGTTGCGTGTGAATTTGCGAGCAACCCGAGTGGAAGGATCCGAACTGTTGTCCTTAAAGGGAAAGACGGCCAGCGGTCTCGACTGTTCCCAGGTCCTGATGAAATATGGAACGCATTGAAAGCCGCTTGATCACCAGACTCGCTCAGAAAATCCGTGCCTCTTTGACAGAACTTCACGAAGCTGAACGCATTTTGTGCGTACCGGGATCAAGCCCGCAAAGCACGGGTCGCGTGAGGTGCCCACTCAGAAGCGCGGATATTTGACTGCGCCAGAAGCCTGCAGCAACGCCCTGAACTCAGGGTTGGATTGGCTGGATGGTTCTTGGGGACAAAATGTTTCGAATCGTTATCAAGCCTTGTTTGCGCCGAGTACTGATATCGTGAAGAGCATCTTTCCACAACTCTTCATGTCTCCTGATCTCCTCAAGACATCGCATCAACTGGGACTTGGGGAGAGATCACCAGGGGCAAACTAACGAAACGCGCAAGGAGGCTCCTCGCTGGCGACCTTTGCTAGTTTTCTTCGGTGCTGTATGATATTCATCTTGGTGAAGTGGTGTCTGATGGCTGAATGTTTGTGCATGGGGAGCGCAACAGCAGATGTCGGTATGCTCCCAGGCTCATGGTATTATCCTGGCCCTATGTATGTGTCATCCGCTCCGGGGGCAGTTGAGAGATGCTTGGACGACCCGGCCCAGTCTCCATGTTGAGAATGAGATCGGATAAGCCAGTGCGTGATCCTTCGCCCCAGTCCCAAGTCGCTGGGACGATCGATCGTTAGCTCGGTGATTCGCATGACAAACCCACTCGATGATGCTGTCGCCATAGTTCAAGCCACGGTCTCGTTCTCCACCGCCAACAAACCTTCTTCTGCCCCTAAGAGGGTGTATATACAACCTCAAGCATAGTAGTGACAAGAAAAGCCACAAAAAAGCCACAGCCCCCGTAGCTCAGTGGTCAGAGCACGCAGCGTGGATCTTTCCGCAAGAGCAGGATTGACATACCCCCGTATGCGGGCCAGCGGGAGCGGTTCGAATCCGCTCGGGGGCATCCTTTTTGCTGTTTTGCAACTTTTTGATGCCTGGACCTGGGCGCGTTGAGCTTTATTGATGGTGATTGATTGGGCCTTGATTGCTTTATGAGCCACCCCGATAGTGTGTGGGAAACGATTTGTCGATGTAAGGCTCCTCCTTGCCGCCCCCTTTGGTTTTATGAATGCCCAGGCGATGAACGGGCCGGGACATGGTCATGGCAGAGCTTTTTTGATATGGAAGCCTGCCCGAACACCATGTTTCGGCAATCGAGTGGTGACCAATTGATGTGAGCAAGCTGCCCAGAGTTCGTATGGAGTTGAGGTGGAAGCAATAAGCATCTGTCTGAGAAGGAGCAGTCGACGATGTCGATGTGGCCGCGCAGACAGCAGTGCCTTCATTCCTGGCTCAACGCCATTCGGAAATAGACCAGACATTTCCCTCTGCGTAGGTCGATATGGATTGTTAGCGTAATTACTCGCTTTCTGACCTCCAGAATTGTTCGCAATCATCAGCGATCTGCCTGGCGAGACTCAGCTGAAATATGGCAGGCTAGAGCTTCCATGTCACGCAGCAAGACAAAGGAGGAAGGAATAGCAGCTGGAAAAGGCGACATCTGTGTCTCTTGGGAAATGACACACTGAGGCATCCCATCCGTGCACTTGCCGGAGAAGATGAGGTTGAGGTCCACTTCGAATGCCAGGCGTCTTGATCGGAGCCGTGTTTGCCGTCACCGGTCGGTGTCCAGTCGCCTGGTGTCGTTGAACGGCAATTGTGGAATCTCGAAATGATCTTTGTCGGCGGACCTGAATACGTCATACAGGCACATCGCATTTCTGGTCCCCCACCACAAAGAAGCGTTTGATGGGCCGAACCGCCTTTTTATCCTCTCCCGTCTCCACCTGGGCAACTTCGTTCAATCACACTTCGAGCGCATTTCAGGTGTTTTGAGCCTCAATTTGGCCTGACGTCCACCATTCGGTGATTTGCTGTGCCAGAGGAGCCAAGCCAATGCATCCCAGTGCCAGCGTGCATCGGCTTGTCGTCACGGGACAGTGTCGACCGACCGGAAAATTTCTTCCAAAAAGCAGCATCTTTCTGCTGGTGAACGTCGATTCCAGACGCTGAGCAACTTCACACATGTGGTCCTGTCACGATCCTGGAGAGCTCCGTTTGACGTCGACAAACAAGGAGATGATGGTGTGAAAGTGGGTTAGGATGACCCCGGTCGAACCGCCCTATTGGAATCGCTGGGTGCCCCGGGAAGGACGATGATTGGTTGACGGCTCACGGCTGCATCTTGTTTCATGTACTGCCAGCGCACAACTCCCGGGCCAGCTTCCCAGCCCCCAGGCTTTTCCCTCCTCCTTTGAACTTGGACGTCGAGGGATTGGGCTGATTGATGACGATGATGCTCTCTCCCTCGAGCTTGCGTCGAGTCTTCGAGTCGCCAAAGACCCGACGGCTGCTGACTCTAGTACTTGGGCTCATCAGTGGATTAGGTATCTGCAAAGCGAGCCTGATGAAGTCACAGGAACTGTGTCGATGGCATCCGTATGGCTTTGTTTGCTTGGTTGGGACTCGTGAAGATGTTGCACAGTGAATTTCCTCTTTAATTATATCAAACAAAGTGCCAAATGCAGTCCGATGCTACACCAGATACAATTCCGCGACCCAACATATGTTAAATCCAAATTCCTCAAGATACGGATATGATGCGCAATCCATTCTATAAGCCACGCCGGTGTCAATAGGGTTTATCTCCCCCTCACCCATCTTGAACGGGTTCTGCAATGCATCCTCCAAGGCACCACCAACTGTCGATAAATCGATAAAGTCCTGGGTCTGTTGGCAATTCAGGGCCAGGAACCGAGACGAAGGATATCGCGTTCTTGGGTCTGTGCTCACTCCCGGGCTCTCGATTCCAGCACCCGTGCCACAGCTGCGTCCCGCCTTGATCCTCGTACTTGCCTTCTGTCATCTTTCCCAGCCGCGACTCCGAAAGAGCAATCAACAACACATGAGGGACGCGACAATCAAAAACCTGACAGCAATTGAAGCCATTGGCGAGCGAGCAATGGTCCAAAATAAAGATCAAGCGCCTCTCTTGCTCAATCCCTCCATTTGGTCGACTTGTTAGGCCCCGCTGCTGGGGGTAAGGCAGCGGTGAGGAAGGTGAAAGGAAGTGGGAAGTTGGTGGGAGCTGGTTTTCGAGCTTGCACTCGAGCACTTCAATCGGGCAGCGAAACCACACACTAAAAGTGCAGCACAAAAAAAGATGACAGCCAACCTGCGACCGCCTCAACACCAAACCACCATTTTCCTTCACTTACCTACGGATATATTTCGATCCTCTGGTCGCCAGTAGACTTTCATCTTTTTCGTCCGCTTCCTGGACCAATTCGCATTTTGGGCGCGAATTGCCATCTCATCGACGGATATCATTTTCGGTCTGGTGCCGCCGTCCTTTCAGCGCTCAACCAGCCACGCCATTTTTGACGACTCCCGACCTCTCCCATTTTTGCGCAATTCTTTTCAGAGCTGTTAGCTTTACCCACCACCTGTGCAGGAGAACAGGAATATTCCCTTCACACTTCTATTTTCAACCAGGAATTCTACAATTTTTGCTCTGCAATGATACACAGCACTTGCTGCTGAATCCCCAAATTCCAAGGTCAGTACCCCAGAGTGCCAGTCCCTGACCCACACCATGACCTTGCTCCAGAGCTACCCCAAAGCTCCATATATCGCTGCACACCTACCGTACCCCGTACTCTGACCGCCTACATGCTGTCAGACCTCAAACTGACCAAACTTGCAGCCGTCAAACTCGTTCTTGGGAGGTAAACATTTGTCGCCACAAGAGTGTGGTGACTCTTCACCTTGTCCACTTCCCCGGCACCCGCCGGTGATCAGGGAGAGATAGCTTCAGCTCCTAGACCGAGTCTGCCTCCTCACGACCGTAACGACCCTTACGACCACATTACGCCCGCACAGCGCCAGCAGCGGATTTCCTCACCCCTCCCTCGCCAACAATTTACCGTCTCCCCAAGACCCGACGACAGATCTTCAACACCGTCTTCCCGACTCCGTCGAACTCCTCGCTTCCAAGCCACTCCCAGTCCGCGACCCTCCGAAACCCAGCGCCGGATCCACCTTGAAGCGGTCACGGTTGGAATCAGCCAGAGTCCTCGGCTCGCAGCGGCCCCTCCCGTGCCCAATCTTGGATACGACCAACAGCGCCCAAGGACCCCACGGCGGCAACTTTCACAAGACCTGAGTGACGAACTTGGAGCTTCGACATATTCTCCGTCGTTTGCGCCCGATCGATTGCCCGATTTCCCTACAAGTCAGCCAGGACCACATCCCATTGTTAGGGTTTCCTCCCATACCAAGAACGCCATCCTTTGGGCTCTCGAGGAAGCATTGAGGCAGCCACACCCGTTTTCTCCAGACCTGATCGAAGAGAACGCTTCCATGGCGGACCTCCTTGCCAGTACTGGTGGCCCAGCCACATCGAATGGAAATGCTGTAACGTCCTCTCGGCCCACAGCGCCTCCTGCCCAGACAGGGTCACCCGTCATTAGGGGTCCTAGAATGATCATGCAGGAGCGCCGGGAACGTGAGGCAAGACAAAGAGCTGAGCGGGAACAAATGGAGCGTGCTCGCGCAGAAGAAGAAGCACGTCTCCTTGAAGAGACTACACGGCGAGCGGCCCAACGGAGAGAATCTGCTGCTGGCGCTGCCGGTGACATTTCGGCAGACCCCGCAACACAGCGGAGACAGCAACGCGCACAAGCTGCTCAGGCGGAAGCCCGAGCACAACACCAGACCCCGGCACCCGAACCGACACCAGTGCCTCGTCCTCTTCGGACCACTCGTGTGCCCACGTCCCAGCAACCTCCCCAAACCAGTGCTGGCAATCAGGCCACTACCCAACCCGCCGAATCCTCGAACCAAGCTCCCAGCGCAACCCGGGTCAAAAACTCGTTTCCTCATGCTTTCGAGCGATGGGAAGCACTTTCGGCTCACTGGGAGGGCATGACGAGCTTCTGGATTCGGAAGCTGCAGGAAAACACGGAGGAACTGGAACGGAACCCGATTTCTGCCCAGCTTTCCAGGCAAGTCGGTGATCTGTCTGCTGCTGGCGCCAATTTATTTCATGCTGTAGTTGAGTTGCAGCGACTTCGTGCAAGCTCGGAAAGGAAATTCCAGAGGTGGTTTTTCGAGACCCGAGGAGAGATGGAGCGGCATCAAGAGGTAACTGCTATGCTTGAAGCTCAGTTGCAGGAGGAGCGCCAGAGAAGAGCAGAGGCGATCCGAGAAGCTGTCGAGAACGAGCGAAATAATAGCAAGACGCAGAAACTGGTTGCCGAGATGCGGAAAGAGTTGTTAATATCCAAAGAAGAAGCCCGCCGGGCATGGGAGGAGCTTGGCCGCCGCGAGCAAGAAGAGAGAGACCGCACCATCTCGCTGCAGCAGGGTCGAACAACCATCGTCGGAGGAGTTCAGGTTGTGCCAATGACACAGGGAGTCCCGAGCCGGCAAACGAGTGCGCGTGAACCTCGATCGCACAGCCAGCAGGCCGACACCTCCGACTACGTGGCAGCCCAGGCTGGCCACTATCCAGAGTACACCACCCAGGCCCCGCCTGCCCAGGCAAGTGTGACACAAGCTGGTGCCGGGGCGGGCTCGAGCGGCGGGTACTACCAACAGCAGCAGCACGCGCAGCAACCCGAAACAAGCGCGCATGAGACAGCAAGCTACGGCGGCGGATCGGAAGCGGGCTATAGCGAAGGTGAGTACGTGATCGATGCGCAGGGGAATTTTGCAAGAGATACGTACGGCAATAAGATTCCTTATCAGAGCCCCAACTCCCCACCGCGAGGAGCTCGAGGATCTGACGTTGCCGCAGAGGACTATGAGACTCCGGCTTCTCAGCCCACGACGAGTTATCCTCCGTCCAGCTCGCACTACGCAGCCACGCACGGCGGCGGTGGTAGTAACCCAGAGTACTCG